AGCGTGCCCCGCCAGTTGTCAGCAGCAGAGTGTAATGGAGAGTGCTCGTTGTTTTTGATGTTCTTTGAGTAGCAGGAATATAGGTGCCTTCTTCTCTCACTTCTACCACTCTTGTCTTAGTCTTATTTATTTTATTCATAGTCTTTCTCTGTCTGTATGCAGCAAATGGACATAGGCATGCAGGCACACGCGCCTCTATAGACACACATACAGAAGCAGAACCAAAGCGACACGTGTACAAATTCACATGCTCTACACATAGAGACACATGTCTGTACAGGCACGTACACACGCCGACACTCACTGAAGGTCAGCACTGTGAAGCCAATCTTATCTGTGTTTCCCATTGTCCTTGTCTTTTTCACACCTCCGGTCACCATGTGTCATCACCTTCCCTCTCGGCGCTGGAGCAAGCATTATCTGCAGACAGTCCTGAGAAAAACTCAGGGCCAGAAGCGTGCCCTTGGTATTTGGACTGGTGAGCAGAAGTATGATGCTCACACAGTGTCTGACATTTTCATTCATTTTGTTATACATTGCTTTCCATGTTAAAGATAACACGATACTCTGTGCAAGTGCTGCTCTTCTTATTTTCTTAACTGATGATAATTTGGTGACTTGTGTCACCAAAGTGACATGTCACATGCATGCGTGCACATGCTTACTCCATGGCTTAAACTATCCCTGTAACCTAATGTTGACCTGATCACAGGTGGAGATTAAATGCTACATTGATCATTTGAAAATGTTTTTAACTCATGTTTGTCAGTTATGATATGATCCATCTATGTGCTATAGATACTAGTGTGACTGCTGCAGTCTGGAAGTAAATTACTTAACAGACAATGGCCATAGTCAAGCCTAAATAAATTGTGAATTGGTCTGGAAATTCAAAGCTAACAGGTGTTGCCCAGCTGTGCTTTTGGACATGATGACATAGTGCAAGACTTAAGAGCCTATCAGCAGCAGCAGAATGCTGACTTTCACAGCTCAGTGTTTACAACCCAGGTCAGCATTTCTTTCACTGGCATGCAGCCAGAATTGTGTTTATCAGTGCCCTCTGAATGGGGAGATTAAGCACATCTATTTGGATGCAATGTGAAGGATTTTTTTATTTTATTATTTTAGATAATACATAATGTTTAGATGTGAAATGCAGCAAATAGTGTATATTCGGTGTACACACCATTCATTCAGTCAGTGAATGCTCTACTGACACTAGACTAAGAAGCATATGTTCTTACCCCAAAGCTGAACCTTGTTAAAATGTTTTGGCAGACTTGTTAGATGGTGCAGACGGTTATATTGATAAAGCCCAGGGCCAAAGTGATTCATCCCATCCTTCAGCAGTCAGCACAGCTTCCCATCAGATGATGACTGTAGCTTCCAGAGAAGCTGAGGTGTCTGACTTGATCCAAGTGTTCTTCACCTGCAAAAAAAACCCTGGAGCTGTGCAGCTGATTTTGCACATGGAACAACTCACAAAATAAAACCTGAAAAGCCAAAAACTGGTTTAATGATCTCATAAAATCAAGTTTGAACCTGAATCTGTTGACTACCTATTGTTATCAGACTGGGTTAGGCCTGTGACACACCAAGCCGTTGGGCACAGTCAGGCTGTCGGTGAGCAGCTGTCACCCTAGTTTTTGCAGCATGTCCCACACTATTGGCACTAGCCGGACCCTGTATGTGGCTTTCCGGCCAATTCAGCATGGTAACTCAGTGGCGATACCGTTGGGGAGAGAGGCCAATGATTTGCTGTTCAGCTTAGCGAATCAGTGCACAAGAAGAGAACAGTTTGGGAAAGCCCCTTGAGCCTGTCAATGTAGTAACCATGACGTCACCAATTTAGTGTGGTTTCTTCTTATTTTTCTCCTCCGCGACCTCCTTTCTTCATCGACAACCAAAAGACAAAGGGCTGACAACACTAATTTCACTTGCAGCTTCTTATCAGACATATTCTCAACTAGAAGCAGCTACAAACCAGCTGTGGTGAGCGAGAGCTGCTTTGTATAGATGCAGCCCTAGGTCTTCCTCTTTCCCTTTTTGTATACAGGCTACTGCCACCTGCTTGTATGGAAAGTTAGTTTGTCTCACAGAGACACAGAACATGCATGCTAGTTGGCCATTGGCTGTGGTCTCTGCAGTGTGTTCAAGTGCCATTTTTGGTCCAGATGAAGGTCTGCAAGGTGATGCAACAGTCGGCCTTCGTCATCGCTAGTTCTTTGATGTCAGCTTGGAGTGTCTCTGCCCTTAAGTCAGGGAGATGATGGCGGCTCCTTCAGTTTGAAGAGACTGTCAGCCTTTTTCAGTCTAATGAAATGAGTTGGAGGATGGGTGGTTGTCACAGTGTTATAAATTCTCAGACTAGGTAGGGAATGTTTCTAATTCTATTCGAGCTATATATGGGGGGTGGGGGCGAGATAAGTCCTAAAACTGCCAGAGCTACACAAACTCACTTGAGGCAACATTTTTAATCTTGCATAGGGGGTTACTGCTCAATTCCATCTGTGTTTTGAGTTTTTCCATTGTACTAAAATGAGATTACACTAGAGATGAAGTGGCTCATGTTGCGCAGCTGACACACTACACTACATTACTGTAGCTTACAATTAATTTTCTCTCCCACTCTGCTGTCACCAGCCGATAATCTTTACTTCTGCTTTTTACTTCTCTGTGCTTTGTTGTGCGGTTTGCTCACAGACGAATGTGACATGTGAGTTGGCACGGACTACTTACACCCACAAAAACATTTTTTCCTCCACTCCTCAGGGGTGTGTGGGTGTAATAATTATTCTCAAGAACGTTCCCTCGAACCCTCATGAGTATGTAAAGGATGGGAGGTTTCCAAAATGTCCACATTAGTTGTGATTTAAATTTTGGGAAGTTTTTGGTCTGTGGTGCATGCTTAATAAGTTCTCATGTTTATTAGTAAGATTTTTTCAGCATGTACAGCTGGAGTAAATTTATATTTTAGGCTGTTCAAATTTACTGTAACTACTTTTTGATCAGATGACCCAAATCCCATTTGGTCTAAACTAGAAGTAAAGTTAAAGATGAGAAAAACCTATTCTTTCTTTTGATGAATAGCCTGTTGTGTGCACAGATCTGCAGCCTCCAGTAAAATCAGACTGTCTCCCACTGTTAACAACAAAGACAAATGTAGAACACATTGCAGATTGCCCTTTCCTTCAGAAGGGCTTAAGCCTAGAACAAGTTTATCTTTGCTGCTTTTAGTGGAAACCCTCAAATACTTTTTAGAACCTCAATCCGAATCTTTTGTACTGTTTCCTCTAGGGGGAAAGGGTTTTGCATAACCGAGTGGACAGTAACAAACATAAAGGAAAACAGTATTAATAAGGAAAACAGCTGCCTTTTATCCAGTTTGCTTTGTATTGAATTGTATTTCTGTTTTTTATTTTCCTCTCTATAGCTTAATAGAAGGTGTGAGATCTGAATTTACACTGGGCAGCACCAGACATGTTTTCCTTTCTTCCTTCCTTCATAAAACTCTGCAGATCTGAGCTCATCACAGACTTTAGGAACTTTAATTAAGGTATTAGAACTTCTAATGAAACCTGAAAAAATGAAGTTATGCCATCCTGCTAAGCTTTCTGTCTACTTCTCATGCTGTAAAAATTGACTGGTGTTTTGTATTGGACTCACTGGGAGCTGTGGTCCTGAACCTTGTCTGCTGCTCTGCTCCTCCTGTTTGTTACTGCTGCTAGATCCACTGAACTGCTTGAAGCTTTTGGATTTTTCTGATTACATATTCTTTTCTCCGAGCTTTTCAGCCACATCTTAAAAAAACCAAACAAACAAAAAAACACTAATATTCGCGTGAAACGAGTCAGCAACAGTTCATTGCTGCAGCGTTGATGTTTAATGATAATAACAATACCAACATACGAACAGTGAGCAGGTGGACAAAGCAGGTCTGAGCTGGTTAAGCTTTTAAATTTGACATGTGATTCACATGTGCATCAGCAGTTACCACCCTGATTATATTAATAAGAATTACACTAGTATGGCAATTCTCAAGTTTTATTTTTCTTCTCAGAGTGTATTGCATATAATGATATAGCTGTTATGCATAGTTTAATTATTAATGCAACATGATATTATGGCCTTATCTATAAACAGTCTTGGTCTTGGTCAGGGGTTGCAGTGTCTTGCTTTGCCACTGAGATATTAAAATAAACATCATTACATGTAGGGCAAAATATTGTTAAAGCATTGCTGGATGAGTCAAGTTACAGTCCACACTATAGTATTGGGATAAATGAGCAAACGTCTCCCCAAGGTCCCCAAGGCTCTGTGATCTATTAAGGCGCTGTCGTCTCGGATGGTGAACCTCAGAGAGCGAGGGAATTTTTGGGGAAGAGAATGGTTGTGCTGACATCCTCTCTCAGTGCAATCCCTTGTCCTTGTAGGACGAAACAGAAAAAAACAGCACTAGAGGCTGACTTGGCTGTTCCTCTGAGCTTCGTCATAAATCCGACTGAACATTTCTGAACATCTGTTGTGGATGATTAGCTCCATGGTGAGCAGAGTTTGACCAGAGGGAGGAGAGACCCTCTGTGTTTGGGAGTTATGTGTGTAAACTCCACGCCTTGCTGAGGATTATGCATATTTATTTTTTCCCTCTTTATTTTTTAGAAAAAAAGCCCAAATTATTTTTTGAAACCGTTTCATTATCCACAAACTGTTAGAGGATGTGTTATATTGACACAGTCCCCTAGGAATGCTTGTATATTTCAAGGTCACACTTTGTTAGCCCCTTAGTTTTGGTGATAATGACATGGCAAATTGATTTTGAAACACATGCAGGAGTTAATTAAAAGTAGAAGTGGAGATGTTGGACATGTCAGGCTGTGATAAGAGCGTAGTAGGTCACAATCTGTGCCTTGAAGGTGGTCAATAGATAAGACATAATGGAGCCTCTAAGCTGCAGGAATATATATAACATCATGTGCTCTCGTACTTTTTTCTACATGCAGGTGCACAGCAAAATTGTCTCTCATTGGTCAAGATTCAAAAAGGTAAGGCCCTACAGCCTCCTCCCTCTTCACACTGAAATTTGACACCAGTGACATCACATGGTGGGTCTGGCTTCTCCCAGGCAGTCCCTGAACACCCGCTCAGTGTGTGAACAAGCTTTGCCTGTGAAGGAGCTCTCCCCAAACCACGTTCTACAGCCACAGCTGGAAAAGTATTGCTTGGGAGGCAAAAGACACTTCATCTGGCTTAATCAAACACTGTGAATGGAATAACTGAGCAGGAAGTGGTGTCTGTTTTTTCTCTCTTACGCTCACGAGACACCGTTCAGGGATAATCTTTTGTGGATACTGCTGGACTTTCTTTTCTAGCCTTTGGATACTCTCCCCTTCTCTCTGGAATAAGTACCTCAGTATAGGAATAAAAAAGGCTTAATTTATCAGTGGACCTAACTGACATGCATGGGTAAGCATGAATGTTGTACCAGAGAATTATTACAAAGCATCAGTGAAGAAAAGGTTAGAAACACAGATGAGACACAGGTGCATTTTTTGAAACTGACTGAGCTGCCTTAGATGCTGCAGTTTATCCGACTGTATATCTCTGCACCAGTATATTTTTCATCTTGGGATCTACCTTTTACAACTTCCCTTTTTACAATAAAAGTAACAAAACAAGTAGGTGTGTTACACTTCAATGGTCAGGTATTTTCTTGCTATTCTTTTGTTCACTTTTCTTTTGTCCTTGCTCACTCTTGCTTGTTAAGACAAAACAATGGTTTAACCTTGTCTTGGCTTAAGTCTATTGGCTGGCTCTTTGGCAAATTGCCCTGTCTGGTGTGAACCCTCCCCTACGTATTCAGAGGACTTTGAATAGAAGGGCCATAGAAGGTCCCCTAGCTACTGCTGCTAAGGTGAGGCACCCTGCCGTTCTAGTGCATTAGGCCTACACTGAGGCCAAACAACCTGTTTTTCCAGTTGTCTTTATCTCCCAGGGCAATCTGGAGGGTAAAGTTTCAGCAACAAGAATTCCAGTTAGAAGGAGACACCGAGAGGCTTTGAAATCCTATGTAATTGTAGCAAAGAACTTTTGGAAGTCTCAAATTATGAGAAAATGTTTGTGCCTCAGTTTTAACAAAGTGTACCCTGTAAATCATGTCTCAGGGTGTAATTTAAAAGTTTAAAATTCATTAACTGTGATTATCATAGGCAAAAAATAACCAGGTCTAAGTTCTTAAATTCATTAACTGTGATTATCATAGGCTTCATTAAAGTCTTTTCTTTTAACTTAGTTTCAGCAAAAAATAACCAGGTCTAAGTTCTCTCTTCAGCTTTAATTAGGTCTTCAACCTTTTGCGTCTTGTTTTATTATTTCAGCATAAAACTTTTATATGCTTGTCTGAGAAGCTTTTGGACCAAGTTCATCTTGTTCTTGGTAACGATAAATGTGGCAGTTGTTGGACAGTAAGTTTGTTACTCAATACAAGGAGCTGGTGTCAGTGGGGAGAAAAAATCCCTTTTGCAACTTGCTCTTTTCCATCAAAGTTGTCTTCAGATTTCAAAGAACGTAGCATAGATATGATGTCTGTCTCATTTAGTTTGTCCTTTGAAAGGATTAGGCCTCCCCAAAGGCCTGTCTTACTGCAATATGAACTTTGTGTTTTCTTTACTAGTTGTACTTTTATACAACTTTCCCACCATTAGTACCGTGAATACATGGGGGTTTTTTCATACCCAGCTTAAACCTGCCTTTAACTGGCTTCTGATGGGATTCCCACTGCCGACGCACCGGGCTTGGCTCTCTAGCTTGGCTTCTTTCCCCTCTGGTATGTCATATTTGACATTATCACGCTGGTGATGTCAAATACGTGTGCCGGTAAACAAAGCATCATGGAAGCTAGTGAGACAGTCAGTGTTATTTCTTCATATTCGCTTTTGTTCATTTTCCAAAGTATAGAAACTTGGCCTACACTGAGCCATGTTAGAGAGTTGACTGAACGAAGGCAGATGGAATTTATGGCTGAGGCGCTGATGATGACGACACGTGCATCATTAAGTATATTCGTGGATTTAGATGAGTTTGGCTTTCCCACTAGTTCCAAGCCGAGGCGTGCCCAGGCAAAGTGGATAATGACCCATGTCGACTGCAGTCATTTGTCCCAGTAGTTGCATTCCCACTGCCGTCAAAAGCCGAGGTGTGGCGAGTTTACATGGGTTTTTTGGGCAGTGTGAAAGGGGCTTTAGATTATTATTATTATTTTCCTTTTTATTTAATGATTCAGGAATGCAGCCTGAAGCTCACCATGACTTGGAGTGGTAACCCAGACTTGATTAAAAAAAAATTGCCTTGAGGTGAAACACAAGATGGACATTTCTGTTGAAGTCTCTGTTCAGCTGCTCAGTAGTATAAACAAACAAGACAAAAAGCCATGAGCCATGGGCATTTGTTCAAACAAAGCCAATGTACACACTGGGTAACCTGTAGGTCGTCCTCCTTCACCCCCACCATGCAGGCCACTTACCCTTCATTCCACTTTTAAGACAGTGTCTCAGTCACTTTGTCACCAGTAATGTTTCAAAGAAATTTTAAGTGATGTCTAGGATGTAATCTAGGAAATAACTACAGTTATTTGTGTACCACCACCTTTATTAGATTTCCTGACCACGCACACAAAAGATCTTGCTTTTGGCTGAAGTCTTTCCTTTTGAATGAATAACACCGTGTGGGACAGTCAATCACTCTCTACTCATCGGATTTCTCAAAAGTAATTATAGGCTGAGCATATGGATTTTTCCGTAGAACTTGATTTCTTATCATAGTTGAATTGGGTGATGTGTAATGACCTGCTGATGCACGACGGATCTGCTTAATCACTCTTGTCCCAGGTGGGACATGAAAGAGGTTGCTTACAATCACAGATCAATGTCCGGCAAGGGGTTTGTGTCAGTGGAGCCAGACATTAGTCTTAACACCTACTGTAAGTATTAAAACCTACTCGCTTTTGTTGCATTTTTGGAGCACAAAGCTTTGTTGTCGGCCCATGTGGTTTTGCTGTTTTGGTTTTAAACTTTAAAATGCTAGCAGCAGAAGGATTTTTCATGTTTGTGTCAGGTATTGTTACCCATACTCATGTTTTTATGATGACAAGGTCTAATTGCCAGTCCTCTGTTCTTCTCTAAATAAATTGTTTATGCTACAAAGGGGGGAGTAGGTGCTAGATACGTCCTTTGTAATGTGCGATGTCAATCGGCATCCCAGCTCCTGTGATGTGTTAGCTGTGCTGATAGTTGCTTTCTGGTCTTGGCTGCAGACAGTCACTCATTCATTGTGACAGGTGCTGAGGAGGAAGTTTAGAAAAGAGGTTTCTTTACCACTAAAATCATCAGTGTTTTGACAGGAACACTTTACCTCGGCTGCCCCAAGGAGAGAGCTCATTTGATTGAACTAGGTCTGTGGCAGTGCTTTGACATCTGCATAAGCATGCTAATCACAGTGAGGTTTTGACATGAGATCATATCTGAACAAGCAGACAGGTTTATTTTAAGTAAGGAAATTTTATTTTTGCTGCCAATTAGGGATGAATGGAAACTGTCCTGTAAAACCCACTAGTGGCAGTGCAGCTTTAACTCATTGTCTCTTTAAAGTGAAGTGAAAACAAGTGGATCATACCGCTCAGGCTTGGATCACATTCAGTTCTTTTGTTTCTTTTCACAGATGCCTTCCTTCTGTGCTCTTTTTTAAATTATGTATTCCATTATGCATTTTAACTGTATGTATCCACTTTTTATGCCAATGTATACCTAGCCATCAGAGGTCTGTTTTGTGCTTATAGCCTTGCACCTTCCATTTAAACCTTAGCACTGTGTATTACAGCCATGGGTTTCTCGATGGGAACACAAATCCGCTTTGTCAGAGAGGACATTTCCCTCCTTGCACAAAACTCATTTCAATTCCACATCATCCCATTATGCCTCCACACTGATTGAAACAGCCTCCATTTTCAGGGGCAGCTGTATTTTTTTGGTACTCTGTATGTATGACAAGACCAGAGCTTGTGCTTGTGTATGCAAAATGTGCAGTGATGCAGATTGGAGTCATACACTGACCATGACAAATATAAATTTTGCTGTGCTTTAAGCTGTTTTCTGAAAATAAGGGAAGACTTGGGATTACTGTTGTTGTTCTGTTGCATAATACCATTCATTTCCATGAGGCATTGTCACTGAATTACTGTATCATACACTGCTAATATCTTTTATCTAATATAGCCGTTCTTCTGCAGGAAGGCAAGGTCAGATTAGTCGCTTGTGAATTGCCGTTAAAGGGAATTAAAGGTCATAGCTTTACCTTGCTCTTGAGTATGAAGGGATAACTGTGATGTTAAACTGCAGTAAAGCACATAAAATTGAATGTAGGCTTGATTTATTTGGTGGTTGGTTTTTAGAGTAAAGTCATGTGACTGAGTTATCCCTCAGCCTCCACCAGCATCCTTGTTTGCTCAGCCTCCCAATTTCTTTGACATTCTACTTGATTAGTTTATCATCCCTCCTGTCACTTCCTCTGAAATTATGACCTCTTCTATAACAGTACACTGCTGCTGGACTCTCGCTATTAATAACATGTCATCTAATGCAATAACAAGTCTTTAGTCTTGGATACTCATACATGGACTTTGACCTATTGCTACAATACTAGCACCTGAGAGTACAGCACGTGTGTTGTATGTTTTACAGTGACACATATTCAGCTTCATTATAACGTTTGGCGTTTCTTCATCTTGCTGTTCATCCTCAACACAGCAATGACTCTTTCTCCTGCAGAACTCTGCAGTCCCTGGCTTGTTTTGGGAAGATAGATGGAGATTCATTCGGTTTCATTATAATGCCTGACTTATTTATAGCCTGCCTGTGCAGTGCCCGTTGGCCCACTGTGGCCCTGTAAGGATGCTGGGGGCTGAGGTGTTGATGAAACATTCCTGTGTCCAGGGGGTATTCTCTGAGGACAGCACTGCTTGTTTAAGGGAGGGCAGTGGGGTGACAATGGA